CCTTCTGGTCCATCTGTTTACACATTTAAAGTAAGAGCACACAGTATCTCCTTGTCATACCTACAGTCTGCAACAGAAGTTTAAGAGTTAGGACTTCCCTTTGTCAGAGCCATAGTATGACATTCCTCCGTTTCCTCTATTTCTGGGCAGTATAATTCAATTGGGTGTTTGTAGACTTTTATATCTTAGAGGAACTGTCTCTTTTATTCCTTTTCCTTTTCTCCCACATAATTTTGAATAGTTGGGAAGCATTGTGCTTGCTGGGTTGTTGATGTTTCTCCATTTTCTTCGATGCTTAATTAGAAAAGAAACAAAGAACACTCAGTTTAAAACATGATAGGCTGCCTACCGTGGTGGTGTAGACCAAGGCAGGCAAATCTCTATGAGATCAAGGCCAGCCTGGTCTACATAGTGAGTTTCAGGCTATCCAGGGCCATACAGTGAGATCCTGAATCAAAACAAAACAAACAACAACCAAAACTTGGAAGGGCTAAAGAGATGGCTTACTGATTAAGAATACACACTGCTCTTCCAAAGGATCTGAGTTCGGTTCCCAGCACCTACTTTGAGTGGCTCACAATCAACCTGTAATTCTAGTTTCAAGGTGGTCCAGCACCTCTGGTCTCCACTCACAGGAACACACACAGAGACACTCACAGACACACACACACACAGAGACATTCTCACTGCCATACTCACACACACACACACACACACACACAGAGACAGACACACACTCAGACACACTGACAGACACACACACAGATGCACTCACTCACACACACACAGAGAGAGACACACTCACAGACACACACAGAGAGAAAGAAGAGATATAATTAAAATTAAATGTTTAAAATAACAATAGATGGGCCTGTATTAAAACAGCTGTTATGACTATTTAGAAAGTTCTGGTCTAGACTTTTAAATGATGGCCAACAGAACCTGCCCAGAGACTACAGTTTTTTGCAAGAGTGTGGGCATCTTGGTAATAAATAGTTCATAATGCTCAGTCAGGAAAAACATCTCTATCCCATTAGAAATGATAACAACGAGCATACATGATGATATCTGGTGAATACATTCACTGTCTGGCTTCAGATAAATGCAGGGCAAATTGAAAACACTGAGGAAAGAGTCAATTCATGCACGCAGCCTTTTAAACGCTGTCTACTTTGACAAATCAGACTAAAGGACAGCAACAGGGTCATAGCTGTTGTTGCCACTGTTTAAAATTTATCAACACTGAAATTCTCAGAACTCTGATGTCTGGGCATGCGGCACACGCCTTTAGTCCTAGCACTCGGGAGGCAGAGGCAGGTGGATCTACGTGAATTGGAGGCCAGTCTGGTCTACAGAGTGAGTTCCTGAACAGCCGGTGATACACAGGGAAACTTTGTCTCAATAAACAAACAAACAAGTAAATAAGTAGCATCTGGTTCTAAGATATAATTTGTATATGCTGTTCACTAACCCGGCAGGTTTTAGTATATTCAGAGTTTCACAACCATGCTGGATCAACTGCTCTGATGAATTGTTAGTCCTTTTCACCATCCTGGAAGAAGCCCTCACCCAACAGCAGCCTCTTCCTATGTCGTCCAAGTCTCCCAACCCCCCCAGGAAAAACACAGCTACCTTCAGCCTCATGAATGACCCATCCCAGACACTTCACGTGAGTGGAAGAGTAAGCTCATAGATTTGTTGTTGGTTCTCTTTTTCAAGACAGGGTCTCATGTAATCCAGACTAGCTTCAAATTTGCTATGTAGCTGAGGATGACTTTGTCTCCTGGTTCTCCTCCCTCTGTTTCCCAAGTCCTGGGATGACTGGTATGTGGCACCACTCAATGTATGCAATACTGGAGCTCAGATCCATGGCTTCGTGTGTGACAGGCAAGCACTCTGCCCACTAGGCTGCAGTAAGGTTACGTTTTGGAGGTTCACCATAGCATAAGCCAGTTCTTCATCGTTTTAATTATCAGACAATATTCCGCTGTAGAGCTATGCCACACTTTGTCCCCTCAGGAATGGATAGGCTTATCTCCACATCTCCCCTTTGCTAATAATACTGTCATGTACACTCATGTCCATGGCTTTGCATGGAAATATATTTTTACTTCTAACTCTATGTATCCAGAAGTAGAAATGCTGAATAGTCTGGTAATTCTGTTTAACCTTTTAAGGAAGTGCCAGGGTATTCTGCAATGTGACTGACAATATTAAGACTTCTGATGGCAGCATGTAAGGATTCTAGTTTCTCCGTCCCGTCTCCAATACCCTTTGCTCTCATTGTTGGTAGAGTCCCGACAACTGGTATCAGGGCATCCGCTCTGCTTTCAATCTTCATCTCCCGGTAGCTGATGATGTTTTACAGTTTTTAATAATCCATTGGCCCATTTTTTCATCATCCTGGGAGGAACATCAACTAAGATCCTTCACCCATGTTGTAAGTTGCATTTTTTTTGTTTGTTTGTTTTATTGTTGAGTTAGAAGAGTTCTTTGCACACACTACATATAAATCCCCAGTCTGGTGTATGATTTGCAAGCATACCTTCCACCATGTCCTTCTACTTCCAGCTGGGTATAGCTGTGTGTCTTGTAATCTCCTTTATTATTCGAGACATCCCTTTGTTACGAACTGCCTCTAGCACTAAGGCTCCTGTGTCCTTCCAGAAGAAGGTGAGCGTCCAGAGGGTGGGACTCAGCTTAGCCTAAGATTCAAGCTCAACAACGATGTGCCCAGCTACGTTCAAATGACCCTTGACTCTGGAAATAACAGTCCCCATCAAGATCGACCCAAGAGATCTGCTAGGAAGGGCCTCGATGGAATACGGGACTGGGAAAGAGCTCCTATGACTCGGTACAGAACTAAGGCTCACAGTTCCTGCTGGGTAATTCTGAGACTTGTGGTGGAGTTACTTCTATTTCCTGTTGGATACGAAGGTGAGAGGAAGTGAGGGTAGAGAGGGTCAGCTGGTCCTCCTCAGAGGATTGGTTCACTTTTCTCTTAGCACAGCAGGATTTGCTAAAAACACATCACTTCGTCTCAAAAGATTTACTGGAATTCCTCAATGAGAAATGCCCAGATCGCATCCTTGGGTTTTTTTTTCCCCCTTCTTCATAAAACAGAAATAACTATGTATTTTTAGGAGAAAACGTTTGGCAGCCGTGCAGATTATAATACTACATTGGAAAACCACTTCCTTTGATCGACTGTGAACCAGATGCCCTTCCTTGTAGTTAAAAGCCTGTTGGTGATGCATTTTCTCCGGTGACAGCCACATTTCCTTGAGGTTGGGCACAGGATCCCTCAATCTAGAGGGAACCTGAGGGAATCACCTCTTTGCTTTTGCCGAGGGACCCCAGAAATAGCATTGCCTGGAGCGTAGCAGACCCCAGGACAGACCTCATGTGGCTTCTCTGCCAAGCTGTAGCTGGGGCTTCGGATAACTGCTCCAAACCACAGGACACATGGGAAGACAGCAGGAAGTGTTCCACTGGGTCAGACTCACGAAGCAGAGTGAGGGGTCCCTGGGGAGCCCCACTTACCAAGTGCCTCTTGAAGGCCTTGCTTTGCTCTTAGACCCAAACCTACTCTTTGTGAGGCAGGTGGTAAGGAAGTAAATATTATTATAATTCAGTATTAGTCAAGTCAGCAAATTTCCTGACCTGCGTCTCCACACCCACCTTAACGACCAGCTGTTAATGAGTTTAACCAAGAGGGTCAAATCTGCCATCCACTCTGTCTGCAAGGGAGTCCACTGAGAATGGAAGAAAGTGCTTTTGGGACAGGATTCCTCTGTTGCCATTGAGCTAGGCTGCTGGCCTCTTTTAGGGCAAAGGTGGAAACACAGGGTGGGGGGAGGGGGAAGCACAGAGCTTCTCCACGGAGAATACTCTTCTTGTCTTTGGTAGTGAGCCTTAGACCTTGGGACAGCAGTGTGTGCTTAGTGTGACTTCTTTTCCAGACACGGCTTTCTCTGCAGTTGGCATTTACAGAAAGTTCTGCGTGCTCTGTGTTTGGTTTGTGCTTTCTCTGAATCCACAGATGCACACCCTCCATTCTCCTAATGGATTCAAACGATCAAGGAGTCTCAGGATTATGTGTGTCGGTAAAGGTGTCAGTTTGAGCAATGTGTACCAAGTCAAGGCTGAGAGAGCAGCCTTGGTGTTGGGAATAGAATACTAAGTTGGAGTCTGTGGGCCGCCTGGTTATGAATGGATTATTTGGATATAGAAAGAAGTTATTTTTAGGTCCGGTGTGCCTATAAACCCTGAAGCTAAGTGTTTTACAAATGAGGAGAGTATGCCTTATATAAAAATTGCCAGATGTCAGTCTCTGCGTGTACCAACTGACAAGTGTTTCATAGCTCCGACGTCTGGAAGAGATGGTGTCCATTTCTTTTCTAACCAAGCTCAAAAGGGAGAGTTAATGTAAAATGCCAATGGATGTTTTATAATGCACTCTGATACCAACAGCATCTCAGCGTTTGGAATTATCCGGAAGGCATAATTTCTTTCTCTCGTGACTCAATGTGTGTTTGTGGTATTACAAGTGTGAGACATATTTCTATTCACATTTCCTATATTTTTCCCTCAATCCCTGCCATTTTTTTTTTTTAAAGAAGAAGGCCAGTAGATGTTTTAAAATAAAACATCCAAGGGCCAGTGGCTCAGTGGGTAAAGGTGCTTCCACCAAGCTGATGCTCTGAGTTCAATCTCTGAGACTTATGTGGATGAGGGACAGACAGAACCAACTCCTACAGGCTGTCCTCTGGTTTCAGCACCCAGTCTGTCTTGCACATGTGCCTACATGCATGCATTCACAGAATTGTGGTGAATAAATGGATAGAATATACAAAGTAAAAGCCAGCCTGGGTGCAGGACTCCAGCAGAGGCCGTCAACAGAGCCACCTGTGTGACAGGGGTTACTCTGCATGCCTTGCCTGTTTTCATGTCTTGGTCACTTCCATGACATCACCGGGGGGATTCTTGTCTTTCCTCAGAAATCCGAGCCCAGCTGGTAGAGCAACAAAAATGCCTGGAGCAGCAGACGGAGATGCGAGTTCAGCTGCTCCAGGACCTACAAGATTTCTTCCGGAAGAAAGCCGAAATTGAGACAGAATATTCTCGGAACCTGGAGAAGCTGGCAGAAAGGTTCATGGCCAAAACAAGAAGCACTAAGGACCACCAACAGTTCAAGTAAGAAAGGCTGTTTCCAGCTGTGGGCATTGCCCTAGGGGCCCAGGGTTTGGCTAGCATGCACTGGGGTCATAGGTTCAATACCTGGGGTCGGGTAGGGAGAGGAGAGATGGGGAAGGGAAAAAAGAAGGGAGAGGAGGAAGACTTGAGCTATTGGTTCAGTACCTAGGATGCAGGTGGGGTGGGGGAGGGAGAGAGAGGTGGGGGAAGGAAAGGAGGGAGGTAGGGAAAGAGGGAAGGATGGATGGAGAGACAGACAAATGAACAGAGACTTGGTTCAGATTTGTCTTTCCAAGGTGATGGCTACCTTGTCTTTTCTCCAGACCTCTTTGGGTCTAGACATTTCCTCTTTTGTCTATGAAGCTATTGGCAAACATGTCCCCATAATTCGAACAGCCTTTCTTCATTCCCACTTAAGTTACATAGCCATAAGTTTATATTTTAAACCAATATTTAAAAAATTCCCAACTAAAGAAAAGGAGCTGATATCAGTCATAGTAGACATTTCAAAGGGTGAGTTTAAAGTAGCTGTTTTAAACAAAAGCCTGAAGATTATTTTCCTCTTCCTCCTCTTCTTCCTCCTCCTCTTCTTCCTCCTCCTCCTCTTCTTTATTTTTTTCCATTTCTTAAAAGCCAGGTCTCACTCTGTAGTCTAGGCTAACTTGGTACTTGTGACCGCCCTGCCTGCCATGTACCAGGATTGTAGGCCTGCAGCACTCTTTAATGATTTTTGTATGAAAGTAAGCAATAACTTTTGTTGGGTTTAGTGTTTCTGGAGAGCATGCCTCTCCTTCACCCAACATGTTTGTAGTCATTATAATCAAAATTTTTTAAAACAAAGACTTTCAGTAATAGCTTACGGGTGAGCACAGCTAAACTTTACCACTAATGCACTTCATTAGATTAGAAAAAACACACAGGTTCTATTTGTGAGACTTACTTTATAATGTAAATCCCAGAGTCACAGAGACAAGTGGGTGATTGCACACAAGTATACAAACAAGGGGAAGCACAGGATACCACGGACAGAGGAGGCTGAAGCATGTTCTATAATGGAGGTAGAGAAGGGAAGGACTTGGAAGAGTGGTGTCTGTGTGTGTGTGTGTGAGTGGTGTCTGTGTCTGTGTGTGTGTGTGTGTACACACATGTATGCGTAATGGTGCACAGACATGAATATGCACCTGCTATGGAGGCCATAGAACCTCAGGTGTTACACACCTCTCTCCACCTCCTCAGTGTTGGGGTCTGTGACTCTAATTCACATGCTTGTGTCTACAAGGCAAATACTACCACCTGGGCCATCTCCTTAGCCCCAAGAAGAGTGATCCATAAGTGGACACATATTGACTAGCTGACTCTGAAAGGGGACTGAAGAAGGGAGCCTCATGGTTTAGGACCAGAAGGGAGAGCTTTAAGCCAAGGTTTGTAAAGTAGTAGTTCTTTGAGAGCATGCTGTAACTGGATGGGCAGTGTGGCCACAGGCATTAATTGGAGTACACCACAGACTCTTACATGTCTTTGTGGACAGTTTGGCCTTTGTCCTGCAGACATAGGAACCTCTGCGGCATTTTAAGTTGACCTGCCCACACCTTCATTAAAGTGACGGGCAAGGTTGTGAGCTATGGGAAGGTAACTGGGAAGAGAGAACACCAAAGGTGGCATGGTGTGTGGCCTTACGGTCTTAGCCTTCCTAGAGAGAGATAGTACCCATTGTAGCATAGGCTTTTGTTTCAGACAGCACAGTGGGCCAGGAATCTGGAAACAGAGTTGCCATTTCAATTCTCAGCAATGATGGTTACAATATAGATACAATACACCTGGATGCATAGGGAGGCGAGAGATGTTTCCATGGTCAAAAAGACAAGAGAAGTGAAGGTCTGCGTATTGTTCAAAGGTACCCATCCCTTAATCCTGTAGAACAGGTAGCAATGAGGTCTACACAAGATGAAGATATAGAGAGATAAAGATGAAGACAAAGTTACCACTGTAAGCCTCGCTTCCTTTTCCTCCAGTTCCAGAGGATAGCCCACCCCAGTGATAGAGGAAATAAAACCCAGCTACCCTCCCACACAGGGACAAAAAGGACCTGCCTGCTCAGCCTGGGGACTGGGGGTGCTACTGAGAACCAGGCCTCTTTCTTCTCAGGGATCTTGAAGTTCCACTTAAAGCCTTCCCATGACCTTAGAGCCTGGTTTAAAGGGAGAGTAGCCAGGTTAGCAAGATGGCCTAGTAGGTGGAGGCCAAGCCTGATAACCTGAATTCAATTCCCAGAACTCACATGGTGGAAAGAAAATAAGCTACGAAGGTTGTTTTCTGATCCCCACGGGCATGTGCCCCTTCAACTAAATGCAATCAAATATCTATGCAAGCAGCTTCAAATTGCCTTTGACTTGAGCATTCTTCATTATTGAACGGAGAGCTGCAGATGAAATGGATTATAAATGAATCAGACACTCAAAACCCGCTTCATTAACAAGCCAGCCAGACCTGGGTCTGAAAAATGATTGCTGCATGACTCTGTCATTTCGTACCTTCTCTGAGCTTGGCTTTTTCTGACAGGAGGCATGGGAGCTTGTGACTGTTAAGTGGCAAAGTCCTCGTCGTGGCTGGTGGCTGGCTTGCGCATGTGTGTACGCATGCGCATAGCATTTCTTTTTGTTTTCCTGGATAAATGAGTCTTTAGCAGAGTCAGGCTTGCGCTCTTCGAAGCTAGAACTTGGAGCCTGTCTTTACTCAGTTTGAAGACAGTGTCTGTGCAAACGGTCCTCAGCCTAAAGTTGCTCTGCAAATAAAAAGAGCAAGGCTTGGGTCAGCCTCCCACACAAAGACTCAGTCTGATAGTCACTCTGGTCCTTATCCGATCTTTAGTAAGCTTTAGAGCTCTCGTGTTGACAGTCAGGACAAAGTGAGTGGCTGTGGTGAGGATTAAATAGAGTTAATGTTAAGTCTTGATCAGAGCAGTCTCCCAACAGAAATAGCTAACTTTCTATGCTCAGCACTTCCTCTCTGCCTGAGGCGTGATGGCAAACGTTTAAACACAGATAGGCACCCAAGTCGTCTTCGTGATGACCTCACGAAACAGGTTGTGCTATTTATCCATTGTACAAAGAGTCTGAAGTACAGAGAGATTAGTAGCGTCATCTCACGGCCACACAGGAAAAAAGTAGGAGCTGAGATGAGAACCTAGAGCAAGAACCACCCACAACCTTTCATTAATATTTATGCAAATTTGAGACAAGGTCTCTCCGAGTTATCCAGGCTGACTTGCGATTGGTCGTCTTCCTGCCTCGGCCTCCCAAGTTGTTGGGATTGCCCGCCTGTACCTTCAAGCCTGGCTTAAAGTCCTCAGCCTCACCCTGCCTACTGCTTCTCACTCAGTAAATGATAGCTGCTATTATTACCGCGTTATTATTGATATTACAGTTGGTGCTAATAGCAAGGCAATGATAATAACGTGTTTTATCCAGTCGATGAAGTACTACTTGACGCTTGTCGTCTGAGTGGACACTGAGAACACAAAGATGCATAAAATAGTCTCAAGGCATTTGTGAGCACCTCGGGACAGAGGATAAGCATTGTTCAGATGAACACAGTAGCACTTGCTTTCAGGGCTGACTAGACAGAGGGTATCAATCGAAAGGCTCTAATGCCTCTGCCATGGATACAATGTTCCTTCCTGATGGTTCAAAGAAAAAAAATGTCCCAGGTCAGGGCTAGATTTTCAGGGCACAAGGGGGTTCCTTCCCGGGATACTTTCTGGTCCTGATCTGGCTTACCTTTTCTTTTAGACGCAGATTATAACTCTATGTAGGTGTTCGGGTGGTGAATATTTTCTTTGTACTCGTTTTTAACACAGGGCCTTATTATAAGATATCCTTGACCTCGCTACCTAGCCTAGCCCGGCCTCAAACTCTTCACCCTCCTGACTCAGCTGCCCAGGTTCAGTGCAATAGTAAATGTAGAATCTGAGCGACCTAATGGTAGAAAGACGTGATGTTCTTTTTGTTTCCCCCGACTTTAATGTTCAGTCATAAATGTTTATGAATAATAAAATATTGCATCTTACTGAATAGTTGGCTCAGTAAAGGAAGGGCTTGCTGGCATCCTGCATCCGTATCCCAGAACCTGTGCATAGTAGCACATATGTATCTGTAAACCCTGCACTCCTGCAAGAAGACAAGAAGCAGAGAGAAGAGAATCTTTATTACTTTAAAGGCTGGTAGCCTGGCAGACACAGTGATAAATAGCGAGGCTCCTATTCAAACAATGTGGAAGATGAGGGCCCACCTCGGAGGTTGACCTCAGACCTCTACACCCATGCCACAACACATGTAGTCTCCTGTCTCTTCCCTGTCCCCTCCCCCTCCCCCTCTCATGTACACATGCAAATTAAAAAGAAGAAAAATGAATAAAACCCCACATCAGATTACATTCTTTGCCTGGGTTAGGAGAAACACTGCCGCTTTGCCATTTCATGGGTTAGGTGTTTTTTTTTTTTTTTTATAGCCAACAACAATAAATTGTGCTTTTAATTTTTATTTTCAGGCAGTAACATTTTGGTTGCTCACCGTGTTTGAATGGAGTTACTCTTTGACTATATATGTATCTATGTCTAAGTTTGTGTGCTTTGCAGTTCATTTGGTTTTATCATCTAGAATAAACCAGGATCATTTATGAGTCTGAGACAGCTCTGTTGAGTTTCATCGGGACATGTGACATGCCATGAGCCTGCAGACTTTTGGGTTCTACTCATAAGCCTCGAGACAATACCATAAAGCTCACATTCCCTGGGAATGGTTTTTGGAGGTTGGAGTCTATGCATCCAGGGATTAATAAATAACCCTCCAATTTGTATTCTGTGGAAAGCATCCTAGCCAAATTTCTTTTCCAGCAGTAGGCTGAACACTCAAAGCAGACTTTGTGAGCTGCGGCAGACCAGTCTGTGTGTGAGACAGTAGCCAATAGATTTTCATGTAAACATAAGTGCTTTCCTTGTGGGGGAGGGGACTAAACCTTGGGGGCTGCCTAAGCACGGTCTAGGTTGGGTTCCTGGGGCCCTGCTCAGGGGCAGAGAAGGCTATACCACGGTTTTTGAGCCAAGTTTTCTTTCCAGGCCTGGTAAGTTGCAGTATCCCTGCAGGCTGTATCGTGCCCTGATCTAAGAAACGCTCAGACCGCAATGAACAGTGGCAGCCCCATCTGCTGTCGCTCCTACATCTGCATGCGTCACCTCAAGGCTGACCCCGTGGTAATTCTGTCCTTCTTTATCTCTCAGGAAAGACCAGAACCTGTTGTCTCCAGTGAACTGCTGGTATTTGCTCCTGAACCAAGTGAGGAGAGAGAGCAAAGACCATGCCACCTTGAGTGACATCTACCTGAACAATGTCATTATGCGGTTCATGCAGATAAGCGAGGATTCCACCCGGATGTTTAAAAAGGTAGACTCCGTACACCCTGTCTCGGTGTGCTTCCAGATAACCACCTTGCCTACGGCCACACAGGAGAAGAGAATTAAAGGCGTGACTATCGTAAAGACACAAATTAGAGGATGAAACCTGAGTGTGTGTACTTCTACTGTACGCTCGTGGTGTGTATGTGTGTGCACATATGTGCGTATGTACGTTCTAATGTATACATTATTGTCTACTAGATATGCTTAGTTATATTCAGCAAATTAATGAATATTTTACCTTAAGAACATGAGCAAAAGAAATATTTTGGTGATGAGTACCTGCAGGGTGCTGGAGAGACAGGTCAGCGGTTAAGAGCTTACACTAGTTAGCTCATACTTAGAGGACCCAAGTTTGCTTCCTAGTGCCCAAGCTAGAAAGCGTATAACTGTCTGTAACTCCAGCTCCAGGGGGACTTGATGCCTCTGCCCTCCATAAGTGCTCACACTCATACCCATATACAAACACACACACACACTCTTAATTAAAATAATAAAATCTTTATTTTTTTTAAGTACCTGAAAGTTTCCTCTGTTTCCTCTGACTCTCACACTTAGAAGACAGAAGGCCCTCACATTCTTCTTTCCTGGCTCACACATGACCCAACTTGTAAAGCACATCACGTGTGTAGCCCTCCAGAAAAAATGTTATCACACTGTCTCCTTAAAGCCCAGCCTCAGAGACTATGGGAGACTAAAGTTGGGAAAAACAAAAATTCCACAGGGCCCAGAAAATTCAGTTTCTAAGATGTTAAAAAGCTTCCTTCTTCCTGAATCCATTTACAGAAAAAAAAAAACAAACAAAACAACAAAACCTGGGCTTCTAAGTCTTCACATCATTGATAGCTCCAGTCAGCCCGCAGCAAGTACTTTCGTTGTTTGGACATTTTTTTGTGGAGAACAATAACAGAATTGGAACATTTCCTGTATAAAGAGTCCTCACCCTTCAGTTTCTATGTTGAGAGAGTGAATCTCCACAGACCTTCTCAGCTTCATGTTAATGGTATTCCATGCCTAGATTGATACCCAGACCTTTCTTCTGTAATTCTTTTTAGCTTCAGAGAAGGGGTGGGGGGGGGATTCAGGCTTTATTTGTGTTTCAAAGGGGGCCTCTCAAAACAAGGGTGTAGTGTCACAGAGGCCAGCTGGAAGGCGCCTCAGCTGTGCTTGATGTAGCCCACATCAGATTTGATGTCTGACCTAGAAAAAAAATGGAATTTGGCAAGTTCTAAGACACTGTATCCAGTGTTCAATAGAGAGAGGGGGAGAGAGAGACGTGTTCCAAACAAAGGAGAACTTTCTGTGTTGGATCTAAGACTAGGCAGAGAAATATCTTAACATCTTAAATAAGAGAGCTTGAGTGTGTGTGTGTGTGTGTGTGTGTGTGTGTGTGTGTGTATGAGTTTCAACTGTGCCAGGGAAGTGAAGGAATGATCTTGTTCCTCCATGAGCCCCGTCTGTGGTATTCAGTGTGGTTGTATCCATGAGCATACACAGTGGTCCACATGCTGGGTATCTGCAAAGATGGAAGAAGGCTGGTCCCAGGAAGGTTGCAGCGAACCCACATTTGGATACTACTAAAAGATGCTTCACTGACATGGGGGCATTGGCAAGGATCCAGGACTTACGAGGCTAGTTCCTCGTTTCTTCATCCACTGAACAAAACATCCGTAAGCTGTGTGGCTGGCAAAGTCAGTCAAAAGACATGTCTCTACTCGCAGGGAACCCGTGATAATAATCAGGAATTCCCAAGCTAAATCGATGTGCAGCCCACTGTGGGAGCCTGGGGATGGGGATCTTCACTTAACACGGGAGACAGAAAAAGCTCCAAGTAAGAGGCTCTGGAAATGTAGAGGGGGAGCATTCATGAGACGAGGAAAGACAAGGGGGCCTGCAGGAACACATGTGTATGAGAAAATAGTTCCATAGGACTGGACTGCGGTTGATAGGATTAGAACAGGTGACGGGGTGGAGGCTAGCTAACCCGACCAGGTAAGGAGGGACCTCTCGTGACAAGGACAAGAGCTTAATGAAGCTGTAGAAACAAGGACGATATTCACGTGCATTTGACTCTTCTGCTTCCTCATTTTTGTGATCTTGGGAGATTGTTCTTGAGATTCAAGAGAATGCCCTGTCTCTACTCTTCCTGAGATTGAACACTGAACAAAGCAAGGTTAGGCAGAGGGAGAGGCTGAAACACTGTGAGCTCTGGGGTTTGGAGAACCTCTGGGGTCCTCTCATATCCAAGCAGGGAGCCTTGGGTTTCAGGTTCGGAGCCTTGGGTTTCAGGTTCAGAGCCCTTGAACTCAAGTGCTCTTAGGAAAGGCTGCTTCCTTTCATGGGAGGGAGTTCTCAAGGGCGATTCCCAGGGAGGGATCAGCTGTGAGTTTCAACAGCCCACAGCCAGTATTCCCAGTAGTTGAGGAAATGAAATCCTAATTTTTGTAAAGATCAGTCTGGGGAACGCACAGTAAATAAAAAAGCAAGCAGACACACGCCTGCTTGCTTGCCATCAGAATTCGTTACTCACTTAGATGCTGAGGTCTATGCGGTAGATTCCTGCTTACCGTCTACACAGTAGATTCCTGCAAACTTGGTTGTTTAGTGGGGGGTTTTATCTACACCCTGAACAGCCTTCTCTCTCAATTGAGAGAGAAAATGAGCTGGAGAGGCTGAGTCATTACAACCACAGAGACAAAGCTTACTGAGGAACCGTCAGCCTGCTAACATGCAAGCCCAACGCAGCCCACCTGCAGTCAAGGACGCCGCACTGAGGTCCCAATCACAGGTCCTCAGACTGCTAGACTTATCTTTTCTGCTGACTTTTGAGTTGTTGTGTTTTGTGTTCGCTTTGGTCTTCTAGGGAGCCAGGGCTGTCTCAGAGTGTGATTCTCTCCTCTCTGCCTCTCTGGTGCTGCGATTACAGACCTGCACCGCCACATCTGGCTTTCTCTTTCTTAGGCACCGAGTTTCCAGTTCTCCAGCTCGTTTTCCGATGTCACAGTGCTAGATTCGCTTAACAGCCTATCCTTTATCAAAATGGAATCACCACAGTGAGCCTGAAGTGGCCTTTAGAATAACTGTGGCACCTTTGGTGTGTACCTTTGGGAGAGAGTTTAGGGTGCCCTCATTTTTCAGTGCATTCCCCCATCTTTATGGAGATCTGCATAGATACTGTGTGCTTGATCGTACTGGCCTCTTAAACGTAATCAGAGGCAGAAGACTTTTATCCAAACTGTTCTGTCAAATCAAGAGTTCGGAGCAGGTAATTGCAGGGATGCTTTTATATCCAAATGGATATAATTATCAAGAAGACTCTGTAGGAATTCCCAATTCGAGGCAGAGCGGTAGGAAACACATAGAGACCTAGTTCTTCCTTGTACAGGAGCTTGACTCAGAAGCAGTTACAGAGGCAGTTCTATATGAACCCGGCATAAAGGGTGCCAAGCACTGTGGCCCAGCTCACGGAACCCCACAGCTCTTGGAGAGGACAGATACTATCTGTAAGCCATGTTTTGGGGTGATGGAAGAATGTGCTCAGAGAAGTAAGCCTGAAGAGAAATGCTCTCTGTGCATTCTTGTCTTTGCTCATAGGTGTTAGGTGGCTTGTAGCTACTTCAGACTTTCTTGGGTTTTTTTGGGGAGGCGGGGGCGGTGCTGATAATTGGTCGATTTATGTCTATGGTCAAACATTTTTGAGATTAGGTTTTTGGGTTGGCTGTATTCCTCCTCTCCTGCAAAAATCGATTCTACCCATGAGCATAGACTGAGAGACGAGAAGGTCTGTGTGTGCTAACACGGAGGCACTTGCCCGCCCATAATTCTTGCAGCTCTATTCACCATACTAGGGAATGGAATTAGCCTTGGTGTCTATCGACTGAAGATCGGATAATAAAAACATGGTCCGTGCACACGATAGAATCTTTTTCACATGCAAAGGCAAATGAAATTTGCAAATTTGCAAATAAGTGGGATGGAACTAGAAAAATGTATCTATTCCAGGAGGTGAACCAGGTGCAGAAAGACAAACGCCATGTGCTGCCTCTCATGTGGGTATCCTTGTTTTGAACCTTTAGATTTGTGTAACCAACTTGTAGTGCCTTCTGAATCCAGGGAGCTAGGAAAGGGACATTGGATGGGGGTGGGGGATGCCTTAGGGAGAAGGGGTAGGAGTGGGAAGGTTTCACCAGGTCTGGGGGTTGACGCTGAGGAAGAGGAGGAGTTAGCCAAAACCCACAATTGTATGAAAAATCTAGTGCCGTGTTAGCTAATTAAAAAATATAAGCTTGGAGGAGGAGGAGGAGGAGGAGGAGGAGGGGGAGGCGGAGGAGGCGGAGGAAGGAGGAGGAGAAGAAGGGGAAGAAGAAGAAGAAGGGGAAGAAGAAGAAGGAGGAGAAGAAAGGACATGCCCCACGTAGTTGGATAGCGCTAGTCCTAGAACCTGGGATTACTGCAACCGTGGCCCTCAGTCTTCATCAGAGAGAAGCTTCTTTTGCTGGATGGCTAAGACAGAGACTCACAGCTGGTCCAAGTACAGAGACTAGTTAATTGACGCTGGAGTACTCAGCTCTAAATGAAATGTAAACACCACCACCGCCCCTCCCAGGGCTCCGGGAACACAACGAGAGGCAGGGCAGAAATATTTTAAGAACCAGAGGCTGGGGAAGACTTCTGTGTAATGGCGACTTTTGAGGGGACAAAGCTGTCATACTCATGGACACGCAGCGCCGGCTGTGGCTGCCTGCATAAAACACACACACCCTTGCAATCATCATCCCACTGCTGCAGGCGTTGCTGTAGACTGGGCCTGTCGTTAGTCCTGGACTGGGGAAGGATCCCAGAGCTCTGCCACTCCCTGCTGAACAATGGGCTGCTGGGAATTCTAGGGGAGGCGGAGGCCTTGTCTTCAATCAGGTACCCATAGGTGGGCCCACCAGGCTTCAGAGGGCATTTCTAAACCCGTGCTCCAGCATGTGGTTAAACTCAAGT